GTGTGCTGTTCTTTCCCATACTTCATAGCCCATAAATGACCCTGGCTGCCTGTTTTCCCAAGTATATAGTTACTTGGCATTTCTTCTAAACATTTTTGGATGGTGTGTTCAAAACTCATCCTGGAAAAAAATGCTTTCAGGAACCTAAACTTTTCCAGCTCATGTACTTCCCTCTTACAGTTTATCATTCTCATATAGCCCTACTATATTGTTTATGCTCTCTCTTCTGTCTTCCTCCCTTGGCCCACTCTCTTGTGCCTCTCTCTTGGCCTCCTTTGCCCCCTACCACCCTTAGTCTGATTAGTCAACTATCTGTCTACCACTTTCTCTCCCTCCTCTGGATTTTTCAGATGTCTCTGACTATAATTTTACTTAATCTACAAAAAGAATCCCTTTCTTCTAAACCATGAAAAAATAATTGCTTTCAGAGATATTGTTCAGCCAGCGCTATAGAGTGGTGCAGGGTCACTTTCTCCTCACACAGAACATGCCTAGGCAAGACAAGAATTCATTAGTCATGTCATCTATGGAGGTGGAGTATGTTTTCCACAGTGCTCAGGTCAGAATCCTGGATGTGTTTTCTTTAGAAAGGGAAAGGAAGTGAATAGGCCTATTCTATTTTATCCATGGTGCAGACAACCCAGACTGAGCAGGTGAAGACCTGGCTCATTGTGGATTGGGCCAATGTCAGTGATACATGGGGGCTGGAGATCTGTTTCACTGAGAAAGATGTTGGGGCCATCAGCAAGCTGAACTCAAAGCCCAACTTATTTGTTTGTTGGGGCAACCATATCCATGCCATGCCTGGAAAACCCTGGTGATAAGAACAGACCCAGAACCTGCAGCAAGTGCTTATGTCCTTTGCCCAAAACATTGCACTGGTGCTGGTCAGTGGTATCCATGACATGGACAATTTTCCCAGAGCTGAAATGGTGGGAATGAGGGTGAAATGGCTTTCTGCCAGATATGAAGATGACTTCTTCAGCTTCAGGATAGTGGGCTTCCTGTTCATGTTGTTGCCCAATTCCTAGTTTTTCTATGATGCCCTGCAGTGAAGCACACCCAGGACCACTGCATTGACGAGAATCTGTTGGGGTCTAGCCCCTACAGGGTCTCAGGAGAGGAGAGACTCAAGAAAGAAAATGATTAAAAACAGGTATCTCAACTTCTAACAGTAAAATTGAATGGTTAAATCCCCAGGCTTTTGCTTGAGAGATCACCTTCTAAGGAGAAGATATATTAAACAATTCTCGAGCCTTTTGCCTGATCCATTGAGGTCAGGAAAGTAGAGGGGAACTGAGAGATTACCCTCAATGGCTGGCCAGCAAGTAAAGCAATGAGAGTGTATTAGAAAGGGGTCCCAAGTTAGGGGTATCAGGTTAAATCACCAGGCCTTCGCCCACAAGGTTGGGAATGAAAGGAGAACCTGAAAGATCATCCTTGGATGGATTGAAAATAGGTGAATTAAAAATTGGTAACAGTTAGTAAATGAAGTACTGGTATTAAGTGAAAGAAAAGAAAAAGGTAAAAGTATATGGAATGGAATATACATGGAGAGTATGGATATTGTGTACTGTTGTGTTATCTTTAAACTGTTTAATTGCTAAGAAAGAAACAAAAACTACTAAAAGAATTTTGATTATCAATGCTGCTAAAATAATCCAACTTACATATTTTGAAAATGCTTTGACTTCTTAATTTAAATATAAGGACAGGTTACTTGGGAAAAACATTCTGCTTTTGTTTCCAAAGAAAATAAAAAGCTGTAGGTTCCTGCCAGACTAGTATGTTTGGATAAAGCAAGACCTCTGGAAGCAGTGGCCCAAGTGATTCAACATTTAAAGCAGCTAAGAGGATGTATCCTTACAGACCCCTAAAATAAGGACTTATACAGGTTTCTGAGTTTTGTCATGATCCCCATGATATGAACAGTACCCCTTAACAACAGGAAGTAGTTTGGAAAGAACGATGCCCACTTTCCCAAATATTGTTTATAAATGTTGGTTATTACTACAAATTTAAGTTCAATTTTGTGAGTCATCTCTAAAAACTTTTTACAAGGAGTGGGTATGGCTGTTGCCCCTGAGAAAAATAGCAAAAGCCTACAACATGGCCTGAGAGCCAAAGAAATCTACATGGAAGATTCTATAGAGTAGCAAACAGTTCAAACAAAATTTCAAAAAATAAAAAAGGGGGAGATGTTGGTGCCTAGCTCCCACAGAGTCTCTGAGTTGCTTGTCAGCTGATAGCCACAGGTGCATCCTGTTTTCTAGTCCTGGATTACTGCCCCCACATTGGCCCACTGACATCAACATCTAGCAGGAGGAAAACACGCTCTCTTCCACCTGGGGTTTTTCTATTATGTTATAAGACTATATATAATACTATTCTCTCCTACGAGAGAGACATCTTAGCACTGGAAAAATAAAGACACTTCTCAGTACAAACAGCTGGAAATCTGGTCTACCTTTTCCTGATACCTAGGAGTTGCTTGTGGCGCAGGCGCTGCAGGAAGCCAAGCATAGGAAAGATGCAGAGGTTCCAGCAATCCATTGTCTTCTAGCATATCCAACAGTTATTGAAGAGTATTGATGAGTATAAGGACTACTTCAACCTCATTAATTCTGGGAAGAAGGAGTTGGTAAGTGAGGTATTCAAAAAGGGGGTCACAATAAAAAAGGAATGGTGGGGGTACCTAACAGGATCTTGAAATGATGGTTTCATCTGCAATTGGATTCCAGCTAGCCAAACATACCCATGGCCTCTCTGTGGTCATTATCACTGCTGAGAAAATTGTTTACTATTACTACACCTTAGATGAGCTTAGGGAGAGAGGGATGTATGACAACCTGAAGGAGCAGATGAAGGAGTGATTCCTCATGTTATCCACTCAGTTTTCCTGCCCATGACCTTTCTTCATGCCAGAATGTTCACAGCCTCTCATAGCAATGTCTAAGACAGGCAGGTTTTGAATAGATTTACTTGTACTTAAATCAATGTTCTACATATTTTCCTTAACTATATTCAAAAGAGGTCTGTCTCCCCTTTAAAAAGTCAGAAGGGAAGGCTGTTGATATTTCTAGAACTATGGTGTGAGACTTTCCACATGATATTTGGGTAAATTCTCTTTATTGTTCAGCTTTCAACCTGTCTTTGAATCCCACTGTTTCTGACAGCTTATATTCCACATCCACATCCCTCCTTCAATCCCAGCTCAGCACTCAAATGTAATCATCAATAATTCCTCAGCACAAACTGCATCTGCTTTTGTTAAATTGTGGTCATGACTCACAGAATACTGAAAAAACAAGGTCCCTCTTCCCTTCCTGGTGTACCAAATAGTACAACTTCATTTGGGGGCCACATAAATTCATCACAATGTAGACCTTCATGGCCACCACTAGCTGGAAAATTCTAGATTTTGTGTTACTGTTGATAGTATGAACACAGATGCTACATATGATGGTATGTTTGCCTCTCTGATGACAAATGTCACATTCATGTATAGACTCTGTTCTAGGTGATGAGAAGAGAGACTGCAGCATGAAGGCCCTGTATGCCCATGTGTCTACTCTGTTTATATTCTCCTATTGCAGACAGTTCACAGCATTATGAGATCACAATAAACTTGGTGAGAAAACTGAACTCGATGTAAACTTCTCCCAAGATTTACACAGAACTGTCACTGGGCAGATATGCCAGGTTCATTGCCACATATGTACAACATCTCAAAAGAGAAAGAAATAATTTCTTTCAATATGTGTCTTAGTAATGCTATCAATGTGATGAATGGCCTGAACAAATTTGGGAAGGAAAGGGTATGTTTAGCATGTTTACACATCATTGTATATCATCAAAAAGCGAGGACAGGAACACTAACAGAGCAGAAACTTGAAGGCAGGAGGTAATAGAGAAGACATCTGTAGGGTTTACTCCTTATGGCTTACTCGGTCTGTTTTGTGGTCTTATGACAATAAACTGAGACTCCTGCATCAATTAGTAAGTAAGAAAATTATCTATAGGGTTGTATACAGTGTTATCTTATAAAGACATAGTCTCAATTGAAGTTTCCTCCTGTTAGGGAATTTCAGCTTGTGTCAAGTTGACATAAAACTAACTAGCCTGGTGTGAACCTAGAAGACATAAGATGTGGAATTTGCAGGTTTGTGCATCAGAGTGATTTCAAGGATGAACTCAGTCTGCATACCCTCTGCTTTTGACAAGGAAGAGCTTGAATAAGAAAGATCATTAATGGTCATCACTGAGTGTTGGAGACACTGACCTGGGAACACTTTAGTGTTCTTAAAGAAAGAGATCTGCCAGAGATTTTAAAAAGGCAGAGAACAAGTAAGTTCCCTAAATTGGTTGAATGAAAAGGGCCTTGAGAAATAGAGAAAAACTCTCATGTGAGGGTTACACTTTAGTTATGACACTCAGTGTCTAGGCCCTTCCCTGTAGATCATTAAGCTATGTTTATCAATGGGTATTTTTAAATGCCATTATTTTAACATACAGCTATAAAGGTATACATATATACTGAACTTTCTTTGTTCCTTTCTGGGCATCTACCTTTCAGTCAAGTTTATATCAGCCATTGCTAGTCCTGATGATTTATCACATAAAACACAAGAAGTAAAAAGTGAAATCAATTTTGCATCACTTTAGTGCAGTTTTCAAAGAATTAAATCTCCAACTGAACATCTTATTATCAAAGTCAGAATGAAAAGTATAATTTTATCAATCCATAAAGAAAAGAACACAAAGCTTATCAAGATAAAAGAAAACTCTATTTAAAGGACACTAGACTAATTCGTACTGCAGTCCCAAGGGTGGTAATGATTTCTCAGCAGGAAGTGTTGTCTCTCTGGACTTGTGACTGTGTTTCTGAGCTGAGCAAACCATGCAGCTGTCCATAGGCATGACAGACTCTGATGATTTGCATGAGCCCAGAGTACATTTCCTTTTAGTGACAGATTCTAAGGTGACTTCTCACAGTCCCTGCAGGAATAAGTCACAGTAAGGACACAGCATAGCCATGAAGTCTCGTACTCAGGCCCTGGCAATTGGGCTACTCTGGCTCTCAGGTAAGTTGCACAGGATAGAAAATTTTTTCAGCCTAAAGTATCCATCACTGCCCTTCTAATCAGGGGATCTCTACTACAACATTTTTAATAGCGTTAATATTTTATTTTTTTACTGTCAGGTGCCATATGTGACATTCAAGTGACACAATCTCCACCCCTCCTCTCAGTATCTGTAGGAGACAAAGTAACTCTCACTTGTCTTGTAAGTCAGGACATTGGTAATGGCTTGAGCTGGTACCAGCAGAAATCAGGGCAATCTCCTACACTCTTGATCTATTATGGAAATTTTTTGCAATCTGGTGTCCCATCAAGGTTCAGTGGCCAATATTCCGGTAGAAATTTCACTCTAAGCATTAGCAGCCTGGAGTCTGAAGATTTCGCAATGTATTATTGTCTTCACGATTACAATACTTGCTCACAGTGATACAAGCCATGACATAAACCACTGGGCGAAGCAGAAGTCAGAGGCCATGTTGTCCCAGCTGCTGCTCCTTCTGTGTTTATGTGTTCAGACTCCTTATATATCAAGTAGTAGTTTTGCTTGAAAGTACTCAGATATCTGCATATTAATCCTTCTCTTTTTGGTCCTATACAAGCATTCAGTCTGCTTCTATTACAATAGTCTGAGGCTTGAAAGCTGAAATGCAGACAATAAAAACACAGTCTGAGGGAATGCAAGAACTAGTAAATGATCATGAACTACAGATGCAAACATAACCAACAAAATACAAGAGATAGAAGAGAGAATCACAGGTGTGGAAGATACTAGGAGAAATAGATCCACCAACCAAAGAAAATATTAAGTCCAATAAATCCCTAACACTTAATATCCAGCAAATATGGGACACCATCATAAGACCAAACCTAAGAGTAACAGGTACAGAACAAGGTGAATAAAGCCATCTCAAAAGTACAGAAAACATATTCAACAAAATCATACATGAAAACTTTCTCACCCTAAAGAAATCATGCCTATGAAAGTAGAAGAAGCCTACAGAGCAACAAATTGAGTGGACCAAAGAAGAAGTTCTCTTGTCACATAATAATCAAAACACCATGCATTCAGAATAAAGAAAGAATATTAAGAGCATCAAAGAAGAAATGTCAAGTGGCAAATAAAGGCAGACCTATAAGAAATGCAGCTGAATTCTACCTGGAAACTCTGAAAGCCAGAAGGTCCTTCTATACCTATCAAAACTTTCAATCATTATAGATGGAGAAAATAAAACATTCCATGACAAAACTGGATTTAAATAACACATATCCACAAATACATCCCTATATAAGTACTAGAAGGAAAAGTGCAACCTACGAAAGTTGACTACACTTACAAAAACATAGGCAATAGATAATTCCACTTTACCAAAAGTCAAAAGATAAAAGGGGAAGCAAATCCACACATAATACCACCAACAAAAACAAACGAGAATTAATAAAAATGGTGATTAATTTCCCTTAATATAAATAGTCTCAACTTGCCTATAAAAAACACAAGCTAACAGAATGGATACAAAGACAGAATCCATCCTTCTGATACATACAAGAAATACACCTCAACTTTAAAACTGTCATTATATCAGAGGAAAGAATTGGGAAAAGATTTTCCGATCAAATGGGCTGAAAAAAGCTGGCATAGTTATCCTAATATCTAACAAATTAGACTTCAAACTAAAATCAATCAAAAGAGATGAAGGAGTTCCTTTTATATTTATTACACAAGAATCCATCAGGATGAACTCTCAGTTCTGAATTTCTATGTATCAAACACAGTGGCATCTATGTTCATAAAAGAAACATTACTAAAACTCAAATCACACATAAAGCTTCACATACTTATAGTGGAAGACTTCATCACCTCAATGTTATGACCTATCAGGACCACCAGATAGAAACTCAACAAAGAAATACAAGAAGTAAATGAAGTTATTATACAATTGGGTTTAACAGAAATCTATAGAATATTCTATTCAAACACAAAAGAATATATCTTCTCAGCTCCACATGGAACCTTTTTAAAAAATCAACCACATAAACAGACACATAGGAAACCACAGCAGATACAGAAAATTGGAAAACCTCCTGTATTGTATTGAATCACCACGTTTTAAACTTAGAATTTAACAACAACACAAGTTGCAGAAACTCTATAAACTCATAGAAATTGAACCATGTGCAGTTGTACTATTCCTTGATCAAGGAAGTAATAAAAAACATATATTAAGTACTTCCTAGAATTAAATGAAAGTGAATACACAATGTACCTAAACTTATGGGAAACTTTAAAAGTAGTTCTGAGAGGAAAGTTCATAGCACTAAATGCCCACATGAAGAAAATGGAGAATATTTACACTAGAAAATTCACAGCATAACTCAAAACTCTAGAACAAAAAGAAACAAATTCTCCAAGTTGGGGTAGAGGGCAAGAAAATCAAATTGAGGGCTAAAATCAATAAAGTAGAAACAATCAAAACAATATAAAGAATCAATAAAACAATGTTTGTTCTTCCAAAATATCAACAAGATAGACAAACCTTTATTCTGTCTAACCAAAAGACAGAGAGAGCACATGCCAATTAACAAAACCAGGAATGAAAAGGGGAACACAATAAAGGACACCTAGGAAATCCATAGAATCATATGTCATGTTTTGAAAACTTGTACTCCTCAAAATTTGAAAATTTAGAGGGAGTTGAGGGAAGCAGCTGATCCAGCAGCAGCATCAGGTAAACAGGCTGGCTTCTGGGCCTGTGTTCCAGTGCCTGTGGATTGCCTGGATACTGCACAGAGCCTCCAATCCTAGTGGGAGCCAAGCACCCCAAACTCCAGGACTTCTCTCCCACCAACAAGACCAGGAAACCAGAGGAGCTAGGGAGACCAGGGGAGAAGATGTTCAGGCCACAGGATCAGAACAAGGACAAGGAATAGAAGAACCACAAGATTATTGGACTTGCTAGCACCCACCAAAAGGGAACTCTGGTCCCCTAACCACCAGACCAGTAAGGGGCTCTTTCTGCACCCACTAGAAGAAGAGATGGGAAGGAGGCAATACAAAAACACACTCAGCAACAGAAAAACAAATATGATACCACCAGATTCTAGAGACTCCACACAAGCAAGACTCCAACATTCCAATGTGAACTAAGCAGAAGAGACCGACCTTACAACCAATTTCATGAAAATCATAGAGGCCTTAAAAGAGGATATAGGAAAATCCCTCAAAGAAATGGAAGAAAAAACAAACCAAAAAGGCAGGAAATGGAAGAAGAAACAAAGCAAAAAATGAAAGAATTGGAAGAAGAAACAAACCAGAAAAGGCAGGAAATGGAAGAAGAAATAAAGCAAAAAATTGCAATAAATGGAAGAAAAAGCAAACCAAAAAATGCAAGAAATGGAAGAAAGAAAAAACCAAAAAATTCATACAAGGCAACAAATTGATGAAAAGATAAACCGAAAATTGCAAGAAGCAATGCAAACACTGCAAGGGTTGAAAACTGAAATAGAGACAATAAAAAAACACAATCTGAAGAAAGGTAGGAAATAGAAAAGCTGGGTATACAGTCAGGTACTACCGATACAAGCATTAGCAACAGAATAGAAGAGATGGAAGAGAGAATCTCAAGTGTTGAAGATACACTAGGAGAAAAGGATTCATCAACCAAAGAAAACCTTAAGTCCAACAAATCCTTAACACAAAACATCCAGGAAATATGGAACACCATAAAAAGACCAAACCTAAGAATAATAGGTATAGAAGAAGAAGAAAACCACCTCAAAGGGGCACAAGACATATTCAACAAAATCATAGAAGAAAACTTTCCCAACCACAAGAAAGACATGCCAATGAAGGTACAAGAATCTTACAGAACAGCAAATAGAGTGGACCACAAAAAATCCCATTGCCAGATAATAATCAAGACCCCAAATATACAGAATAAAGAAAGAATATTAAGAGCAGCTAAGGAAAAAGTTCAAGTAACATATAAAGACAGACCTATCAGAATTACGCCTGACTTCTCCATGGAAACTCTGAAAGCCAGGAGGTTCTGGATAGATATACCAACACTAAGAGACCATGGATTCCATCCCAGACTACTATAACTGGCAAAGCTCTCAATCACTATAGATGGAGAAAACAAGATATTCCATGACAAAACTAGATTCAAGGATTACGTATCCACTAACCCAGCCCTACATAAAATTTTGGAAGGAAAACTCCAACCCCAGGAAGCTAACTACAACCAGAAAAACATAGGCATTAGAGAATCCCTCTCTACCAACAGCCAAAGAACAAAGGGGTGAAATTCCACACATAATTCCACCACCAACAACCACTGCAAATCAAAGAAGGATGAGCAATCAATGGTCATTAATATCCCTCAACATTAATGGCCTTAAATCACCCATAAAAAGACACAGGTTAGCAGAATGGATTCAAAGACAGAACCCTTCCTTCTGCTGCCTACAAGAAACACACCTCACCCTCAAAGACAGACATTACCTGAGAGTTAAACGTTGGGAAAATTTTTTTCATTCAAGTGGTCCCAAGTAACAAGCAGGGGTAGCAATCCTAATATCTAACAACTAGACTTTAAAATAAAATCAATCAAAAGAGATGAAGGAGGACATTACATACTCATCAAAGGTGAAACCCACCAAGATGAAGTGTCTATCCTGAACATCTATGCCCCTAATACAAAGGCATCCACATTCATAAAAGAAACATTATTAGAACTTAAATCTCATCTAAAGCCCCACATAGTTATAGTGGGAGATTTCAACACACCACTCTGACCACTAGACAGGAATACCAGACACAAACCCAACAAAGAAGCAAAGGGTCTAATAGAAGTAATGAACCAACTGGGATTAACAGATATCTATAGAACATTTCATCCATATAAAAAAGAATATATCTTCTTCTCACCAGCACATGGAACCTTCTCAAACATCAACCACATACTTGGCAACATATCAAACCTCAGCAGCTACAAAAAAATTGGAATAACTTCATGCATCTTATCAGACCACCATGCTTTAAAATTAGAATTCAACAACAACACAAATTGCAGAAAACCTAGAAACTCATGGAAATTGAATAATGCTCAACTTCACCATTTCTGGGTCAAAGAAGAAATAAAAAGAAATTAAAGACTTCCTAGGATTCAGGGAGAATGAAGACACAACATACCCAAACCTATGGGACACTTTGACAGCAGTGCTATTGGGGAAGTTCAAAGCACTAAGTGCCCACATGAAGAAAGTAGATAACAGTTATATTAGAGAATTAACAGCACAGCTGAATGCTCTAGAACACAAAGAAGCAAACTCCCCCAGGAGGAGTAAACGCCAGGAAATAATCAAATTGAGTGCTGAAATCAAAGTAGAAACTAGGAAAACAATACAAAGAATCAATGCAACATAGAG